TTCGACCCGAATGCACCAACTAGATTCACTTTCCCATCGAACAAGATACTGTTGAAGAAAATCCAAGCAGTTTTACTGCCCCAAACCATGATGACAGACACAAAAAAAAATATGAAAAATAAAAAAAAAAACACATTATTGTAAAATCAATACCATTCATAGTTTCACTCAGAATACAAAATATTTTAGAGGTTTTAAGAAATTTTCTTCAAATTATCACATTTAATTATTTTATATAGTGATATTATTGGTAGGTTCAGTTTCTATTTTATAATAGGTTACCTAAATTACATTTTAGATTCTGAGTGAAACGATGAATGTATTGATTTTACAATGATGTGTGTTTTTAGATTCTGAGTGAAACGATGAATGTATTGATTTTACAATGATGTGTGTTTTTTTTTTTATTTTTTTTTTTATTTTTTTAATTTTTTAATTTTTTTTTTATTTTTGTGTCTGTCATCACGTTTTAGGACAGTAAAAGTGCTTGGATTTTCTTCATCAGTAGCTTTTCTGATAGGAAAGTGAATCTAGTTGGTACTTTGGGGGGTCAAAAGTATAAATTTCCCAGTAGTTTTCACAAGCGCCGGGAAAAACAACATAAAAATTAACTAAAAACGGGAATTTTTACGCAAAATTGGTTTTCCAAAAAATCGATTTTGGTTTTTGGTGTAACTCTAAAACAAATGAACGTATATACATGAAATTTTCACTGGTTGTTTATATTTGCATTTTCTATACACGATAACATTTTCAAAATATTTTGATTTATTTTGAACTGTTTAGGGACATTTTCATTTTTCATTTTTTTTTAGTTTTTTTTCTAGAAATATCAATAAAATTTTATTTGTTGGTTGCGAAAGCTTGAAAATTTAATAGAAGGCTCCTAATATGTTGTTTCAAAGGCAGATGAAAAATATTAAAAATCCTTTGTCACAATTTTTTTTTATAAGCACTTAAAGTTCAAAAATTGACAAAATATGGAAAAATCACGAAAATTAGCAAATTATTTTGAGTTAAGAATTCGTAAAAATTTTTCTTTTTAAATCTAAGATTTGAAAATTTAACACAAGATTCCTTATAAGATTATCTACCTTTATCAAAAAAAAAATGTCTATAAGAAAGTCAAATTAAATTTTTATGAGCGTTTGAAATTCAAATTTTTACAACATTGAATATTCACTCGATTTCCCATGTAGCGATTTCCTTAGTTTGTTGTAATTCAAAAACGAATAACTGTAGATACATGAAAATTTCACTGAATGTTTATATTAGCATTTCCTACACACCATACAATTTTGAAAATATTTTGACTCTTTTTGAGCTGTTTACGGACATTTTCAGTTTTCAATTTTTTTAGTTTTTTTTTTTATAATTGTCAATAAAGTTTTATCTGTTGGGCCAAAAAGTATAAAAATTTAATACAAGGCTCCTGATATATTGTTACAATATCAGTTGAAAAATATTAAAAATACATAGGCACGATTTTTTTTTATAAGCATTTAAAGTTGGAATTTTGACAAAATTTATCAAAATCTCGAAAATTATCAATCGTTGGAATTAAAAAATTATAAAATGTTCAGTTTTTATAACTAAGAGTTGAAAATTTAAAACAAAGATTCTCTTAAATAATTCATACTGTAACCAAAAAATCTAAAAAATATATAAACACACTTATTTTGTACAGACATTTTAATTTCAAATTTAGACAAAATTTCATATTTAAACCAAGAATTACGATTTTAGTTATTTTGTTGTGATTGTATAATATTATTCGTGGGTACTTGAAATTTCTAAAGTAATCTACTATATATATCTATGATAGTATCAGGGTTTGTTGTTGGTGTATAACGCGTACCTAATGGATATTGTGATATGATTAATTTGGAATTCATTATAGGTCAATTTTTTTTAATACCATAGATATGTATATAATATGTCTTATACCTAGAAGGACATACCGTCTCCGCTCAGAATCGTTTTTCTTATACAATGATATTATATCATTGAATTCAAATTTAATACCATCCATTATACAATGACCCACTTGTAACCTACTGTACAGCAGAGCGACACCCACTTGCCCACCTTTTTTTATTTAAACCCCGGTAGTCGAGTTTTGGACAAGTAGGTACCTACATAGTACATAGGTAACTTATAATAATTCATATTGTAATTTAATTAGGTGCCAAAAAAGTATAACATCACAAACACTGAGTCTAGAGGAACTGCCGGTATATAATGCATTCGAATGATAGAATGTCTATAAACTTGCGGACCATGCAGTTTTGCATACTTAAATTTGGCATGCGAACTATAACTGAAATAGAAAACCAGAATATAGGTACGTTGCTGATCACAAAGATATCTGTAAAAGTACATACGATTTATCAATAGACCGTATAGATACTGAGTATAATATATAAGTTCTATGGATGTATCATAGTAATTAATAATATATTTTATAATAATCTCTATGGCAATCGTCAATTGTCGACATTCGTCAGTGACGATTAACAATTCTCATAATTTCAGTGAACAGAAAAATAATAAGCGATCGATATAATCGGACGGTTTTTTAAGCTGTATATATTATAATGTAAGTTTAAGCACAATCTCGCACATTTCGTTATGATCAGTTTATTTTCATAAAATAATTCGATACTTTTTTTTTTTTTTTTTTTTTTTTTTTTTTCGTTTGAACCGACAGCAGAGGAGGATCTGTGTGAACACTACTACTCCTCTGCTGCCATCGTTTATTAATGTTTAATAAAAACGTTAATACATGCACATTCTCAACTCATAACTAATTATGGTTGCTTCACCTTAAAAATAAACAATAATACAATAGGTACAATACAATGCAATACAATGCGATACAATAAATAATAGTCAGTCAGTTGGAGCGGCTGCCACTGCATTCGCTCTTCGTTCGGTCTCAGCTATCCTTTCATCATGCTCCTTGCAGCTTAATATGTTGTCAACCATGTCATAAAAGGACTGAGTGGCACGTTTGGAGGCAGCCCGTAGCCGGTCGTTCTCACTGAACGGGACATCGGAGGGGCCACACAACAAATCCTGGACGTCTCCCGGGGTTATATTTCGGTTACCAACAAACATCTTCACTGGCAGCCGAAGCGGATCCCAGTAAGCACAATCAAATATCGTGTGTTCCGCAGTGTCCTCAGGGTATTGGCAGTACAGGCAAGCCGCATCAGGGGCGCGCTTCATCCTGTGGTAGGTAGTACCTGAAACACCCGTGTCCCGTAAGAGCCTGCGTTACATGAAACGTGAGGTCTTTGGGGCATCTTTTCGTCCATCTTATCAGGTCCGGAAGAATCGTGCGCGTCCAGGCTCCTCTAACGCCCCGACTCCATCTGTTCGACCAGGCAGCAAGCAAGATGTCTCGCTCTGCTCTCCGGATCTCATCCTTTGTATCAGTTCTGTCCGGATCGTCAAGTTTACTTCGGACTCTTTTGCGTTCCAAAGCAAGAAGATCACCCGGAGGAGTTCCCGCCAGGAATTCGATACTTTCAAGTTTCAGTTCGGAGTGAGATGAAGATGGATGAAGATAGCTGTTTCTTCGGTGACGGCGGCACCCTAGCTAGGTTTCAGCGGAAGAGTCGATGTCTACGCGTAAGTTTTTTTTTCATATTATTGCTATTTTAGTATTTTACATTTACTTTAAGACTTAAATTAAATATTTATTGCCACGGACAATCTGTTAACTGGGTGATGTAGAAGCGTTTATAAGTTTAATCCTAAAAAACGCAATGTATAAAATACGCAAGACCGAACAGTCTATAGGCCGTCTTCGTTTCACCACTCCAAGTTTAATACACCGCCTTGAAGTTAGCCCTTACACTTTTTCAAAAAAAGTTTTGCATAGTGCCTTTATTTTTCAAGTAATTAGTTTAATACTTACCTTTTTGCATATACTATAAGCCGAGTATCACCTAGGTTTGCGGGAAGTATTTAAAACAATATAATGTTATCAATCTTTATATTTTATATACATAAATATAGTATAAACCTCATGTATTTTATTAGCATACTTACACCTTTTTTTAGTGTAGTTTATACCCTAGATGGTTAGACATAGGTATTAAATGTTTTGCAATTCTATATTTTACTATAATTATTATTTTTCATTTTAATATAATATAACAATACACTTTAAATTAAAATAATTTTTTCGAGAAATATATGTAATATTATGTATAGCTCAAATAATTAAGAATTTATAGTTAATAGAAATGCGAATGCTTATACTTCATAGATATTTTTTTATTGAAATCTTGTTAATAATTTGATTAAACAATCGGGTACCCATCGGCCATCACTAGTATTAATTTTTTATATTACGTGTAAAATAACCGGCACAAGGTGCAGACTGCATTTTAAAAATAAAATTATGAAAACAGTTTTTGAAAGGAACAAGATTACCTACTAATAATAATTAAGTTTTAATTATTATTAACAAATAAAATACAAACAATAGATATTTTAATAGCTTTTTACTATGATTAACAATCAGTGTGAATATTATATTATGTTTCTGATCGACTTAAATGTAAGTACCTTCTATATAATAATTATTCATATAAAAAAAATCCTAACATATTAATGCAAGGATTCTCATAAATTGATCTTACAGCAGCCTTAAAACACCAAAAATACATTGTACATCATTTATGCACTACACCTACCAAATAAAAATTTTACAATATTTTAGTTAGGTACCTATTGTTGTGTAGGTACTAATACAAACAATAAATATTATTATTTGAAAACGCAATTTCGTATACCTATTATTATTTACTAAATACCTACAACTAAACTAAAAATAAACATATGATTACATTCTGAGTGCCTATAATATAATATCGTATATAAAAACTGAATCTTTCTTACGAATAATTATCGTTTACACAGACCACAAGAAAAATTAATTTAAAAAATCGAAAAATTAAAGAACACATCATTGTAAAATGAATACAGTAATCGATCCGCTCAGAATCTAAAATCTAAAATATAGATGATAAATTTAAAAGTAACATATTAAATCATTATTATTAATTTCGTATTCAGCAATATTCGGAGAAAATGATAGACTTGGAATTTTACAATCTAGTTGGTATTATAGTCGGTACTGTAAATTGGATGCCTTTATGTTAACTCTAAAATCCAGAAATTACATTTTTATTTAATGATTCATAAAACACAATAGGCTTTTATAAATATATGCTAGTACTTCTGCAGATATCTATTCACCATCTTAATCAATAATTAAGTTAATAAACGAAAATAGTATTTTAAATAATATCTATATCATATTTTTATAATTCAAATTCAAAATTATAAACTATTTTGATTTATTGTCATATCAAATTTCAATGAACAAATTGTTTCTTGACACGGAACTCACTGATATAAAAAGTTGCATTTCATTAAATCCGTGGATTCATCATATTGACGTTACCTAGTATAATATAATATTTATCATATTTTATATTCTATGGCAAATCTCAGTCGTTGCAGACGACACAGTCGATTAAAAATTCTAAAATTTCGATAAGCAAAGCAGATATGGGTAAAATGCTTACTGCGTTACGTATAATTTATTTTTATTTTTCATAAGTCACAATATTTTAAGTTCTGTATTCTGGAGCGTTTCCTCATCGGCATCATAGTTCACGGATTCCTCCGAAAGAGTATAGATAATTAAAGTAAGTTTGTTTTCATATTATTTTGGAGTTTAAATTTACTTTAATTTTTTCTAAAATATATGGTAAAAAATAAATCATATTTCGCTATAAAAAAATAATAAAATGTAAAATAATATTTTAAATTTGCGTGGAATAACTTATTATTATGATCATAACCACATTGACTACAGATTATTAGGCATTAGTACAACAGTAGGTTAAAGTCATTTTTGCCCAAAAAATTACAATTGAAAGTGTCATCGTGTATTTAAATTTTAATAATATATATTCTAAAAGTTTCACAAGTCTACGAATTCCTACTATTTTTAAATTACAACAAAATAACTAAAATCGTTATTCTTTGTTTTAATAAGTAATTTCGTCCAAATTTGAACTTATAATGTCTATAAAAATTAACTGTGTTTTTAATAGATTAATTAGATTTTTTGGTTACAGTATGAACTATTTATGAGAATTCTCGTTTTAAATTTTATAAATTATTAACTACTAAATAGTAAATTGTTAATTATCAATTTGATAATTTTTTTTAAAAATTGAGCTTTAGTTACTTATAAAAAAAATCGTGCCTATAGATCTTTATTGTTTCTCAACTGCTATTACCAGCTATAACTGCTTATGAGGAAACTTTTATTGCATTTACATATAGGTAAACAAAGAAATGTTTGTATGAATATCTGACTACAAAATATTTTGTAAATTGTCGAGATTATAATAAATTTTGAAGAAATTTGAACTTTAAATGCCTATAAAAAAAAACGTGCCTATATATTTCTAATATTTTTTAACTGCTATTATATCCACTTACGAGGAACTTTGTATTAATTTTAAGCTTTTTGACCGAACGAATCACACTTTATTGACATTTATTGAATACAGAACTAAAAACATTTCATAATTCAAATGACTATAAAACACTGAAAACGAGTCGAAATATTTTGAACATTTTATAATGTATGGAAAATGAAAGTTTAAACATTTAATGGATATTTTAAATACCGACGGTTAATAGTGGTTGAATAATAACAAAATAAGAAAATCGTTATACGAGAATCATTTACAAATCATAATGTAAAATCAAAACATTCATTGCTCCCGTAGTCCGCTCTAAAATACAAACTAACACATAATAGTTAGGTAGGTATAATACAAATTAAACATTATACATATAAAATATAATATCTGTAACGCTTGGGTCATAACTCATAAGAATATCTGAATGTGGTTGAACATTTTACTGCAGGCTGCGTTTTATTTCAGAGATGGTATTCGTCAGTCAAGATTTGCCAACTGTGTATAAAATATCATACGCAGAATGAAATGTGTGAATGTTGCAGTGTTTGGATTTTGGAAGACCAAGTTTGATAGCAGATTTCGATTCGGACACGGGGTATGTATTTTCTTATTTTTCAGTAGGTTTATTTTTATTATTGTTAATTGATCAGGGGATGTATTGTCAGCAACTTTTCAATCATTTGTATTGTAACTATACTGGTATAACACTATTCTGGCTATTAATGATGTCGTGATAAAAATTAGGAAATTGGTCAGATATGAAATTTTTTGGTATGTAATTATTTCGAGTAGACTATTCGCTCGATGATATTTAAATATTTTCACCGATAATCAAGTACGATGACTTGTAGGTAACTAGATACTGAGTGAATAGGAAGTGTATGATATAGCAAAGATTAGGAAAGAGGTCAACAGGATTTCAGAATGTTTGGCGTTTGAAAGGGAAATATGAAAAAGAAACATATTTACAAAGACCAAAACAGATACCTATATGACTATATTTTTATTTGTTTTTAGACTTAATAGTTTGTAATTTAAAATTGATGTAGACCCAGATTAAACACAATATTATTTTAAATTAAAAATTATTTTAAGTCCTTCATAAATTATAATCATATACAAGAGTCCGTGCAGGACCACTTCCCATTAAATTTTTTTTCATCCTTAATAAATTGCATTCATTTTTATACATTTTCAAATACATATAATATTACGGTGATACGCCTCTGATTATAATAACTGTTTGTTTATTTTAATGTAAGCAATAGGTACCTATTTTTTGGATTTTAGTTGAAATGTACTGTAGCATAATTTAGCTTCCAGCTTATTCTTTTAATTAGTATTATTATTTTACCCAGGTTCATCATACAATTATTCTTTTGATTCATTTTACTCTAGTAGATTTTTTTGTATAAATATTTTTAAACATTAACAGGCTATGCCTGGGAGTACACTGAGTAGCTGTGTACTTACTATATAATCACAACAAAAACACTTCGTTGAACTCCGTGTAAAAAACAGCCAAGTAAAAAAAAACCCAGATCTTTAAGCACTATAAAGATGTGATATAAATAAATGCTAAGTAAATTGAATTAAAGTACTCTTATTTTGTATTACTAATGTATATTTACTTGACGTAAAATTATTTTGAGTAGAAATGTCCATGTTAATATTTCAAATTATAATGAACTTTTAATGCCTTTTGTTTATTTTTTTTATACGTTATTTCGTGTGCCGTGTCATATAAAGTACCTATATAATTTCTCGCCAAGTAAATATACATTAATGATACTGTAACGTGGTCGGGGATGACCCGTTAAATATAAGATATTCAGGGAAGAAATTAATTCTTTTGAATATATTTTTACCGTAGCTCGGGAGCACGAATAGTATTAGGATGTTAATATTACAAATAAATAACGATTGATCTAAATTATTATTAATACAAACAAATTATTTATTATAACTTACAATTTACGAACAAAGTTACCAAAAATGTAGGATTGTACGGAGTTCAGGTGCACGTGATGGACTCGCG